TAAAAATTTTAAAAAGAATTAAAATAATAAAATTTAAAAATTAAAAAAATTAAAACAGTAAAAAAAAGCATAAATATCTTTTATCAATAATATTTTTTATAAATTTTTAAAATATTTTTATAAATGAAGTATTACATAAATGATATTTTTTAAAGTTTATATTTTTTTAAAAAAATAAAATTATAAAGTATATTTAATAAATTTTATTAGTATCTATCGTTGTTAAACTCTCGAGTTGACTCTATAAATTTAACGTTTTTATATTTTTAACTTATAAAATCATGTCAATTTATTTATAAATTTAGACTAGATATAAATTTGGTTAAATTTATGAATTTATCTCTGAGTTTAATGTTTTTACATTTCTAACTTACAAAATTGTGTTAACTAATTCATAAACTCGGATTAGATGCAAGCTTGATTAAACTCATTAACCTCATCAATTTTTTTTGTTTAGTTAAACGAGTTAAGTATATACTATAAAGAATTCATTCATAAAGGTTATAAGACCTTATTTGAAGAAACAAACTTGAAATGCAAAAAATAATATTAATTAAAAAAATAAAAAAATTAAAAATAAGTTCCTCTATTTTAAAATTTTTATGTTTTGTATACAATAATTTATCAATGTACGTGGGTTTAATTTCAATGATTTATATTTTTAATATATTTAAATTAAATTATAATAATATTTTAATGGCTATTTGTTAATTGAGATAAACTCTTATAAATTTACAATTTGAGTTTGCATTCTCATCACAAGTTTACTTAAATTTATGCACTTAACAACCTTAGTATGTATAATTTTATTTAAAAATAATTTATAAATTAAGATGAAAAAAAGATAAATATTTAAAAATAAATATGAATATATTATAAATAATTTGACCTTCATTTCACGGCCTCACAATTAGTTTACAAAATTGCCTTTGGCAGTCTATTTTGTCTACTTTAAAGAGAATAAAAAGGATGAAATAAGAGATTTTAATAACATCAATTTAATAAAAAAATATTATTATTATTATTTTAATTGTTCTCCTTTGTATTTTATTTTTAATAAAATTTCAATTCATTTTTTTACGTCAAATGCATTAAAATCCTCTCTTCCCTACAAATCACCCTAGCAAAATTCAAGAGTCAAAATGGAAGCTGATCAGGCTGAGTTGGGTTTGGGGAATGAACCGGACTACAATGACCCAACATGTGTAGGATGAGAGTTTTTGAGTACAAAATATGATTGTCCACAAGTAGAGTTGGGAAAATGAGCCAACCCAATATTATAGGGTTGGCCCTTGAAGGACTTGAGTCTAAGAGGTTAGCCTTTTTAAGTTTGAGTTTTCTTTAAACCTTGATATATGAAACTCAGCCTTCAATATAACAGGCTTAAGGTTTGCCTTGCAAGCTTCAGGCTCTTTTAATTATTTTTATTTTTTTAAAATTTTTTAATTAAACAAAGAATTATTTCATTCTAATACAATACTAAATCAAGAAAGGTATGAAAAAACTAACTAAATAATGTCTTAATGAACTAAAAAGATAAATGAAATGTTAACAAGGCAATAAGTAATAGATTGACTAAGCCAACAAACATCCAATCAAAATTAGATGAGGTTGAGCCTTGAAGGATTAAGATATGAGACTAGGAGACCGAGAAAAATAAAGAGCATGGACATAATATGTGCATCAGATAGAGCTTAGCTCATGAGTCATGAATGCACGAGCATGATAAGTGATAGGAGGACTCGAGAGATCGATGACAATAAGCATCAACTAGTCGAGCATTGTTAAAATTTGGTTATTGGGAGGGAGCACTATCGAAGTGAGTAACATGGACAACTGAAGAGTGAGCAAAAACAAGAGCGAGGATGACTTGTAAATTACAATGACAGAGACGGGAATAGCGATGCGATGACTTGCTGAAGAGCAAGAATAACTTGAAGCGACAAAAAGGAAGGAAGTATATTGAAGAAAGAAGAGTAAATGTTGAATCGAATGAATTATTATCGTGAATTTAGATGAATTAGAAGATTTAAGATTGTGTTTTTTTTTTAAATAGCAGCCAAGGATTTTTGTATGAAATTTATATCAATTAAAAACCAATTGTTGTCAAAACTTGAATGAAAAACAAACTACAATGAACTGTTATTAATTTAAAATGAGTTGTTATTAAAACCTAAATGAATACTTATTGATAAAGAATAACTCGAATCCACAAGTATCCGCTTGAATTTTGATAACAAGTGATCTTTGACTGATATAATTTTTTATCAGTGATTCTTCATCGCTATTTTTCCTTTTTTTGGCCTTCCATTCTCAGTAGATATGGGCTGACATGTGATGTGGAATAAGATTTAACTTATTTTTTTTTCAAATCTAAAAAGAGTGAAAGTCACAAGAATTAATTAAAAAAATATGCATATACAGGCTTAAATAGGCTGGCTCTCGACCCTGCCGGGTTAGCTCGTTTAAGCCCTAAATTAAATGGGAACCTGATCTATTATTTTGGAGTTATATTTGCAAGCCCGACCTATTGTTATATTGGTTTAAATGGGTTGGCTCGACGAGGTTGACCTATTTTTTCGGTTCCATCCACGGAATTCATAAAGGAAATGTAGAGCGTATATTGTGATTTGTGACCGCAAAAATTTTGTAGGCTGTACAATTCAGTGGGAGACAAAAATAACAGAGTGAACTAGGGATGTTACTTTCAATTTTTTTCTAGGAAAAATTTATTTTTTAAAATAAATAATTTTATTTTTTTAATTTCTAAAGTGAATTACAAGTTTTTGGAAACAAAAATTGGAATATAAAAGAATTACACTTTTTATTTTTTTTAGAAGCTATTTTAGGCAACTTTGAATTTTTTTGAGCATTTCTTTGAAGTAAAAAAAACATTTTTTAATAATTATAAACTAAGTGCAAAATAACTCTTGTTTGACAAATGAGCCTTTAGTATAATTATATGAATTATCAAATATGAATTCTATGCACAACTATCTTTTTGTTGTTTTGAAAAAATCCTTCCTAATATTATCAATCCGGTCTGAAGAAAAGTAAGGACACGCCAAGGGAGTAAAAGGAGACCCACTATGCTGGTACTGGGCTTTAACTAGTATTGGGCTTAATGGGTTGATCCATATGTGAGAGAGATTCGTCACCTACACTTTGCCTACTGGACCCTAAACCCAAAAAAAAAACAATTTCATAATTGATCTTTCATCCCCTTCACTGAACCAAACATGCCCTTAAAGGCTTAGACTATCAAAACTTAAACATGATAATAATCTTAAAAAAGTTTCTAATTGTATTTCAAAGACTAGAGAGAGAAGAGAGAGAGAGAGCACGCGCGCATAATATTATTATATGGTAATAAAGTACTGAAATGTAAGAAAATACCATATTTTCCCACACGAATATGCATATTCATGCTTCAGCACTCTCTCCAAGTTACATTAGAATAACATTATTCAGCTGAAAGTGAAGTGATCATAATTAATTTACCATTTTTATAAAATTATCTGATATCAAATATTGTTAGATCGAATTCAAGTAAGGAGTCTAATTAGATGTAGTTCTCCTCAAAAATATTTTTATTTTATTTACACCAACTCAAACTTAAGATATTTATGCTTAATTAAGATATTTATTAACATAAACTCAAATGCTATATATATATAGCGCCCCTTAACCCCTTTCATTCCGTTGGTTTAATTTTATGAAATGGAGATATATAATTTTTATCTCATTTTTATTCTCGTTACTTTCTATATTATTATTGAGATTCAAAGACGTTTTATGTACGAATCTACGCTCATTCTCATGATTCCTGACTTCTACTAAAAGAATGGAAACTTTTCATTTCTTCAATATAATATTTGGTCTGCTCAACGCGTTATATGGAACTGGAATAATATTTATTTTTTTGTTAAGAGAATATTCATGACTTATACTTTTCGTCTCTCTTTTCAAAACTTCATTCAAAATCTGATTCGAGAGTTGAATTATTGACTCACTATGTATGAAAAGATCTCAGCAAACAAACAGGCGGCTTTAATACTAAGTCAAATTCAAATGATTTTGACCTAATCATATGCTCCAAAATCTAAAACTACTAGGAGCTTTTTATCAATATATGCGTTAACGTCCCCTCCCATTTATTATGATTTATGAGCTTGAAGAAATTAGAAAAATTTACACCTATGCGTTGCGTTGTACGAGAAAAAAATCTATATATCTATATATTTATTTATATTAAATTTTTTAATAATATATATAAGACTTATTCTAATTGTTGAAAATCTAGATGTATCTAAGTTTGAAGGCTCTCGCTTTCACCTGCGAGAGTAGAAGAAAGTGATCTACTCAAATTCAAGCTTTGTGTACATAAAATTTTTAAGTTTCAGAAAATTTTAGGTGTATTTGGTTCCAGGATTCATCAGGACTTCAGGAAATGCATTCAGATTTAAAAAACATTTATAAATAATGTATGTATATATCACCCACTAACAACGAGACATACAAATTTTAAGTATTAACAAAGTCAATAATATATATATATATATATATATATATATATATGCGCGCATGCATATTCGTTGCACTGAAATTTTCCAAATTAAGAAAGATTGAAAACACCTCAGAAATTTCCGTCACTTTCTGGTTAACGTTTGTACTCACTACAGAATATTCCCATAGGATCGTGGCGGTAGCATCAATGCGTAGAAAACTAATGATAATGCGACATAGTCAAATATTCTAGCCTTCTTTTTGTCCTTGATCGATCTACTTGCTTGCAGTTTGGTTTGACCTCTCTAATCAAATAACACGTAAAATCAAAAAATTGATCTATTGCACTACCAGGTAATTGAGGCCCAGAAATTTCCTGAAGCGTAACTAAAACGCTATATATCCTTATTCCCTACCCGTTCGGAAAAGCTAATTAAGAATTCAGCATGCATAGATTATTTCTTCTCTTTCGTGTTACTCTTATGATCATCATCATGGTCGTACTAGTGAGTATTGCACGAGTAGCAGCAACAAACCTTGAAGATGAAGATGAGGGTGGTGTTGCCGCAATAATAGGAGCTGTTATTGATAACAGTTCTCGAATAGGGAAAGAGAAGACTGTGGCTATAAAGATGGCATTGGAGGATTTCTATCATTCTCAGAATAACACTAACCAAAGCTTTGTTCTGCACCTGATGAACTCTCATGGAGATCCTCCTCAAGCTGCTCTGGCAGGTCTTTCTTTCTCCGTTCTGTATTATCAGTCCTATCTCGTTGTGTTTTCCTACTTCTAAACCTGCATGCAAAAAACGTAATTGTTGTTAAACTAAAGTAAGCAGTATATTCATGCATGCGTGTATCAGAAAACTCAGTACTGGCATAGAGTAATACACTAATACTGCTACTCCCTTCTAATAATATCATTGATAATATGTTAAAGGTAAAGGGCCTTCACTAATGATATATATTGGGATAAGTTTCTTCCAGGTATTTATTTAGTAAACTAAAGACTGAAAATTAGAAAGGGAGAATAAAACCTCATAATTAAGGTGTGTGATTCTTGATATTTGTTCCCTCTTAAAATATACAAAGCGTTCCTTTCTTGTGATCATTTTTGCATGCACCTCATCCTTTACAGGGATTAAAATGCGTAAATGATGAAGTATATATGCATGAAAATATTGGTCGATTAAGAAAGTAGGCATTGTCTCAATTTCTTCATGATGCACCCAAATACATAGCACAAGATAAAACCGCTTGACCTGGCTATTTAGAATGAAAAAAGTACAGCATAATATATTAAGATATGCAATAAGATATATATATATATATATATATATAAGTAACCGTTGATTTTATTACGAGAGTGATTATTTCAAGAATATTAAAGGCCAGTCCCTACACAAGAAGTTATCTTGTGATTCTTGTCATCTATATTCCTCTCTTAAAAGTGATGCACATATATTTGAAATTTCGGTTTTTTCTCAAAAAAAAAAAAAAAAAAATCATCTAACTTCCATGCGATGCTTTTCAGCTAGAGATCTGATTGATAAACAGAAAGTGCAAGCCATCATAGGACCACAAACATGGGAAGAGACATCCGTAGTGGCCAATGTTTGCAGTGAAAATAGCATACCAGTTCTGTCTCTTGCTGATGCAACGCCAAACTGGGCAACAGACAAGTGGCACTTCCTTGTTCAAGCCTCACAAAGTCAGTTCCTTCAAATGAAAGCTGTGTCTGCCATAGTTCAGTCCTGGGAATGGTACCAAGTTAACATTATATATGAAGACACAGAGTCTCTCTCCACAGGTATCTTAGCTCACCTCTCTCAAGCCCTCGCCGAAGCCGGCGTTGGAATAAGCAATCTTCTAGCCATCCCTCCTTTTGCTTCCTCCTCCTTGTCCCATGACCTCATGAAGCTCAAAGAAGGACAGTGTAGGGTCTTTGTGGTCCACTTGTCCTTCCCTTTGGCCCTTCATTTGTTTGAAACTGCAAAGAAACTGAACATGATGGAGAAAGACTATGTGTGGATCACTACTGATCCCTTCACAGGCCTTGTCCATTCCCTGAATGCTTCCACTCTCTCCTCAATGAAAGGAATCGTTGGAGTTAAGAGCTATTTTTCACAGCTAGGGCATCAATATGAGGACTTCTATGTCAAGTTTCGCCGGAGATATAGCTCAGAGAACCCTAATGAGTTTGACAATGAGCCAGGAATTTTTGCAGCTCAGGTACTGCGTAATTATGATAAGGAATTAATTACTGTTTATTACTTTCTTCTATGACAATACAGATATTGAATTTTCTTATGATATGCTTTAATCTTCTTTGTTTTGGATTACTAGGCTTATGACGCTGCATGGACTCTTGCCCTAGCAATGAATAAGACCAACAAGAAAGGAGGCCAAGTCCTGCTAGATAAGATTTTGCTCAGTAATTTTTCTGGTTTAAGTGGGAAAATTCAGTTCACTAATTATAGATTAGACCCTGCAAAAACATTTAAGATTATCAATGTGATGGGGCAAACTTATGGGGAACTAGGGTTCTGGTCAGATGGACAAGGCTTCTCAAGAACTATTGGTCCGGATGCTACATATAGTTCATCAATGAAGGTTCTGGGACCAGTGTTTTGGCCAGGAGGACCTTGGGATTCACCAAGAGGTTGGACCCTACCAACAATTGATAAACCTTTGAGAATTGGGGTTCCTCTTGAGTCAACATTAAAGCAATTTGTAAACATAATCCAAGATGAATGTGATAATACCACTTCATTTCAAGGCTTTGCTGTACAACTTTTCAAAGAAACTGCAGAACTTTTGCCATACCATCTTCCATACAAATTCTATACTTTCAATGGCACTTATGATGATTTGGTGAAGCAAATTTATTACAAGGTAAGAATATTATGTGTGTCTATATATCCTCATAGGCTCCATGTTTTGATGATTGTTATTAAGTTATCATCTAATGATGTTTTTTTCTGCATGGCACAGAATTTTGATGCAGTTGTTGGAGATGTAACAATTGTTTCATATCGGTATGAGTATGCAGAATTCACTCAGCCTTATACAGATCCAGGAGTGGTAATGATAGTGCCTGTCAGAGTAAAAGGAGGACAAAGAGGTTGGTTATTCTTGAAGCCTTTTACAAGGACCATGTGGGTTCTTATAGGCTTGATGATCATCTACAATGGATTTGTACTATGGATGCTCGAAAGAAACCATTTTCCAGACCTTAAGGGCTCTATGCTGAATCAAACTGGCACCATGTGTTGGTTGTCATTCATCACTTTCCTTTCCTTACATGGTAATTTTGATTTTATCATCCTATATATATAGCTAGGAAGTACACATGCATGAGCAGTGTTGAGAATCTGATGCGGGTCAGGTCTGATTTTATCAGGCAGGCAAATACTTCCTCTAAAGTCGAGCTTGACTAGCCTAGTTGTGACTTGCCTTCGTTTTTTCTCCTCAGTCTGTCTAACATTAATGGTTGAAACCATAGGGGACAGGTTACATAGCAATTTGTCAAGGATGACAATGGTGGTGTGGTTGTTTGCGGGACTGATCATAACACAGACATACACAGCGAACCTGGCAAGCATGTTGACTGTAGAGAAGCTTGAGCCTACAACAGATGATGTTGATCAGCTAAGAAAGGGAAATGCCATTGTGGGGTGTGATAGAGGGTCCTTCTTGAAGAATTATCTTTATGAAGTTCTGCACTTTCAACCCACAAACATCAGGCAAATCAGTTCTGAAGAAGAATATGCTGAAGCTCTTAGGAATAAAGAAATTGCAGCAGCGTTTCTTGAGGTTCCTGTGGCCAAAATCTTCCTTGCAAAGTACTGTAAAGAGTTCATTCAGGCTGGTCCTATGTACAAGATTGGAGGGTTTGCTTTCGTAATATTCACCTCTTACCTTTCCGCTGCATTATGAATATTTGTTTGGTTCATTTGTTCCTGTGACTTTCTCTTGACATACTTTCCTCTGTTTATAAGTTTTTTGTTTCACTCATCTTTCATGAATCGTATTCTGGTGTGCATTTATATTTATTCCCAGGTAGACGATCATTTTGTACATGTGCGTGCGTGTGTTTTGCTAGGAATTCGGAATAAGTTGCCATATTCATGATTTATTAATAATATGACTTTATATAAATTGGTGCACTGATTATTCCTATTGTAATAAGGTATTTAGGAAAATAATTCTCGGTCACAGTCATCCTGAAAAATGTTCATAGGCCAAACTAAATCATAACTAGGTGCATATTAGGCATTTTGATCATTGAGATGGGTGTTTCATTGAGCCAATTAAAGTAGTAGTGGCACAAAAGACAAAAAAAAAAATTGTTAAAATTTGGTTTAAAATTTAAACGATATAAGTTTCAAAGTTTTAATCTACAAATTTTACATTTTACAGTTAAAAAATTTATTTTCATTTCATAACAGTCGTGGATTTAAATCCCCTTACTAATATAAAAATTTTATCAATAAATAATTTTAAGATTGCTCTTTAAATTCTAAATCTTAATATTATAATCTTGGGAGCTCTTGAAATTCAAAACTCACATATATAAGCTCTCTTTTTCCATGAAAAAAATGATATTAAATCTAAACGCTCAAGTTGCCTGCTCAATGAAAAGGGTATTAATTAGTCACACTTCTCCAACAAATCAACCTCAAACATCATATTTATATTTTTATATATGTATGTATGTATATTATGCTTTTGCTGATATATGTCTCGTGTTTTTGCAGGCATTTCCAAGGGAATCGCCACTGACTGCTACTGTAAACAAAGCCCTAATAAAAGCATTTGAGAACGGGAAGGTACTTGACCTGGAAAACAAAATGTTAGTATCAGAGCAATGTGAAAACACGAACACAGATGAAGATGACACTGCAAGTCTTGGTCCCAACAGCTTCTGGGCACTCTTCACCCTCACAGGAACCACCTCAACCATTGCCCTCTTGGTCTATGTTTTCCGTAAGAATCATTCCAATTTGCTCTGAAAACTTTGTGGAGATTAATGATTAAAGTTGTTCAGTTCTGGGAATTTCCTCGGAGAGTGTTTTTGAGAAGAGTCAGTGATGTGGCACTTGCTGAGAGTTCACCTACCAGCCCTCCAGATGATATACCTGCATTTGCAACTAGGGTTTAGCAATATCCTAGGTTTATGGTCGGATCCTCTACATTATTCATATATTGTGGATATCAAGGTAAATATATCCTCTTATATCGCTTTCTTTTGTCCAAATGTAAGAATATATGTATGAATGTAGAGGATTCAAATTTGTATAAATAAAAATCATAGAATTAAGTTATTGTTGGTGATTCACATAAGTTATACCTTCTCCTTAATTAAAGTTATATATTGATCTTACAATAATATTATCAAACAGGTGTATCTTTGCTTTATAATATAAAAAATACATAGCTCTTACAATGTAATTTTTTTTTATCTATAAAAACTAAAAAGTATCATCCACCTTATTTAAGAAGATTTGAGTTTTGTTGCACATTTACATGAAAAGTCTCACAAAAAAAGTGAGGTTTATAGTTCAAAATTTTTTTTATTACGAGTTAGTTTTTTAAGATGAACTTTTTTTTTGAACTTTTGCTCAGAACAATTTTTTTTCCACTCAATTTAACCACCATTGGTCCAAATAATAATTTTGAAAAAAATAATTATAATAATTTATTTTTATGGTCATTAAGACATTTTATTTTTTAAACTTCTTGATATTTTTAAAGATTAAAAAATGAAAGCTAGCATCTCAAGAAATATTCAATGGTGAAATCTGGTTAATGCGAATCCTTACTAGAGGAGGCTCTTTTTTTAGGTTTTAAAATTTGTTTTGCAATACACTTTTTAAATTTGTTTTCAGAACAAAACAAAGAGAAAATTTGTTTGGTTGTGTTGATTTAAAAAATTTTAAAATTAAAAAATTGGTTAATAGTAATGGTGACCGGGGCTAAAGATGGTGGTTTATAATAATTATTAGTTAAGGTAATTATAGTTTTCAATAAGAAAATGTAATGTATTTTAAAAATAAAAAAAAATGAAAACAGCTTTAACATGTTTCTATTTTTTCATTTTTAGAAATAAAAAAATGAGAAAAGTTTTAGAAACAATTATATTTAAGACATATATCCAAACAAGTTTTTAATTTTTTTTATGTTTTCAAAAACACAGAAACCAAACAGGTCTTGAGTAACTTCTGATTTTGATGGCTGTGCCATAGGAAATGAACAAAGACGTTGTAAATATGCATTCTAAATTTTCCCAAAATTTATTTTATAAGATTGTTTATATACATAGCAGTCCAAAGTCTCTTACGTAATTTAGACAACTTCTTCAATGGTCAATGCAATTTTTCGTATTAGTTCAAAAGTCAAGCTGTGAATTTTTGAAGGAATATTCTACAGCTAAACTTTGATTTTCAGACGGATCCTCTACATTCATAAGAACCACTAATTATACTAATTTATTTTTTATACGGTCATTAAAACGTTTTAGTTTTTAAAGTTCTTAAATGTGATTAATTTATGAGTCATTGTTATTTTTTAAGAATCGAAAGCAAAGCATATCAGGCAATTTTAATGGCAAGAAAAATCCAAATTTCTGCGGGACAATCTGAGTAACACCGTACAAAATATAAACAAAAAAATTAACTATTAAAATAACTTTTGATTTTGATTGCAGCTCATGTGTCACGTAAAAAAAAAAATTGTTTTAAAGAGGCACTAAAGTTTCTCAATTTTTTTAAAAAAGCCTGAAAAATATTTTCAGTAATTTTAATTACTATTAGGGCACCGATTCATGGCAGCCCAAGGCCATGACCAGGCAATTTCAATGGTCAATGCAATTTATTTTTTTATTGGGAATCTACAGCTAAAGCTTCTTCTTCTTCTTCTTTTTTAATTAGAAAGGGCAAGCAAAGCTTGATAGTATTTTTAACTTTTTTTTTATTGGAAATCTACAGTTAAAGCTCGATAGTTAATTCATAACCAATAGTTATCATGATAATTATAATTCTTTTTTTTTTTCATTCTTAAACTTTTCAAAACTCACATCAGGTCCCAAAAAAAAAAAGAACATTTCAAGACTCTATAATGTAATTACCAAGGTTTAGTAATGATCAATTCTGGTCTTTTCCTCGACTGTTAAATTCAATCATTACCTTAATTACTTAATGGACGGGTTGCTTAGGTTGTTTCCAAAACAACATAATTATGACACCAACTTCTGTCATTAGCACAGCTAATTAGAGTTTTGAAACTTGCAAACTCAACTAATCATGCTGGGTTAATCCTGCACCCACAAAATTTCAGACCAAGCTGATATGAAAACTAATCTATGCAGCGTGCACACATCAAAATTAGCCTCATAAATATAAGTAATATATATGCATATGTATATGTATAGTATATGCGCTGTGCTAATAAAAATTGGTTTAGTTGATATATAACAGTTTGACTCATTTTGTCTAGAGTGTGAGCTCAATATTATAATGTACTTTTAATTAAATTACATTCTCCAATGAGTTGGTTAATCTTATTACCTTTAAAATTACACTCTTTTTATATTTATATTTATATTTGATAGGGTGTCTCGATTAAAAAAAACTCATCAATTACACTCCTAATTAAAGAATTTAAAAAAACTTCAAAATGTATGTATATTTGAACATCTTACCTAAAAAAAAATGCATTATATTTTTTAAACAGAGAGAATTTAGTGGATATAACTATGTGAGTGTGTTTTGAATTTTGAGTTATCAAAACCTATCTCAATCCTAATGAGTCTTGCACGGTTCATTTTCCCTAAATTTTTATTTCATCTAAAAATATTTACTTGTGTTTTCAAATGGCCCCAGGAGGACCAAGTCCTTTTTGCGTATTGTTAAGCATTAGAAAAATTGATTTATGCTGTGCATTGAAAGAAATATATTAAAGCAAAAAAAGGAAAGGAAAAAGAAAAATTCAAAGCATGTAATCTTTGCTAAGGGAAAAAAAAATAAATCGAGTAATCTGCTGTCAAGATTTTAATTTACTTTTTATTTCTTATAATCACTTTTCAAAGACCATAATTCAAATATTATTTTTATTTTTCATTGTGTTTCATTTAAAAAATATTAAAATAATAAAAAGAATTAGTGATTCTTCCAAACAATATATATATAAGTTAAAAAATATAAGATATTTTTAACTGAATCTCATCCTCTAATAAAGTAGTTATTGTTTTTAAATTAATAATATCTTTTCATATTTAACCCTATTTAATAGGGTATTTTACCCTAAAATAAATATAAAGTGAATTATTTAATAGGGGCACTCTTAAAAAACTAATAATTATAAATTAAAAGATTAAAAATATTTTATATTTTTTAATATTCAACCTCTCAAAATAAACATGAATGTGTTTGATTTAAAGGAGCGGCTATATTTACAACAAAATAGTACATACATTGATCTGAATGTGTTTGATTAAAATGAACATGTGAATCAGTGAATTGATGCCAAAGAAGATTGTATGTAAAATTACTGAACAAATAGCTGCAAGCTGATCCAAAGAAATTATATATATATATATATATATATATATATGACACAGCCCAATTTTCACACGCACGCACACGCACGCATAATATAACATCAAAATCCGATGGAAAAGTAAGAATTAAGAACTACTGTTAAAAATACACCCATCACCAGTCCTTTAATTTGTACAATTCTCCAAACCATAAAAATAAGTTTACAATTAATAGGAAAGTTAGGACTTGGAGCTAAGGGAAGAAATTAAAAAAAATAGAAAAATACAGCAAACATGACATACACCACTCTTGAACCATCCTCTAAACCAAAAAAGAAAAAAGATTGATACTTTTTAGTTTTTTTCTATAATGATTGAGAGCAAGAAGAAAACTTAATGTGTAATAATCACTAAATTCCCAACCCAGTTAATCCGAAGGAGTAATTATTTTTTGATCACTTTCAGTTCATCCAACAAATTAAATTTACTTTATAACTCATGAAAATGTCAAAGAGGCTGCTGAGCCCCCACATGGTGGACATTCAAGTGTGGGGGAACATCACGTGAAAGTTCTGACATTTATATCAACTCATAAGCTGTTCCTTGTCCAAACATCCTACGGGCTGAGACCGCGGTGGCATTAGTGTTGGTTGTGTCTCCGCTAGTGGTGGTGCTGCTGCCGGCAATGATGTCGTCGTCGTCGTCGATGTCCGTGGTTGTGGAGGAGAGTGGAGCGGATGGCCGTTATTATTATTGTTCACAGACCTGTCCATCTTGTGCAGGTTCTGTTGTTGGTGATAGATTTGCCTTAGTCTTTCTATTTCCTTCTTTAGTGCTTCATGGTGAGCTGAGATCAGAAACCAAATCATGTTTTTGCTTCATGACTTTCAGAAAATAAAAGGCTGTGAAATTATAAATGTAATAGCACTATATATATAGCTATATATATAATATAAATATATAAGTTAAATATTGATCGAAGGCATTACCATCTTTGAAAATCTTGTCCTGAGCCAAAGCAGCAATACGTTGCTTTAAGGTACTATTGTCTACGTTCAGAATCAAACGTTGGTGGTCCAAGAATGCAACTCTCGGCGACAATGCTGATACCTCCGTCTTCATTTTCACCATTAATTCCATTCATTAAAATTTATTCAAATCTACTACTCTATTTTTATACAATAATATAAAATATTAAAAGAAATTATTTCATATATAAGCCATAAACAATATAACTTATATATCAAACTCCACACACACACACACACAAAGCACTTGCCCATGATGAAAAGTACACACGCTAGATATATGATTATCGAGTTGAATTTCTTTTAAGATGCCAATTATACATTTTCAAACATAAAATTATTTTTCGCATGTGATGATATCCATAGTGTTTTTTGATTCCTTAATATCAAGAATTAACTGTGATTTGACTATAAATTAAATGAATGAATATAATTTTTGAACCAATAATGAAGCAATTCATATTCATGATTTTTCTCCCATAAAAAATTTAATAGAACTTATCAATTTAATGTTCTTATGCTTAATTATGTAATTTGATTCACCTAAAATTATTATAATTTTTTCAATTAAGAAAAATATGGCCTGATTTTAGATGCCAAACAAATTGCCAAAAATTAACTTTCTTAAATACCTGCAAAGTTGACACGCTTCTTTCTAAATCAGAAATGTATTGCAGCTTTCTCACCCTGGATCTCTGAGCTGACTGCCGATTAGCCAAAATTCTGATTTTCCACCACCCAAAAAGAAGAAGAAGAAGAAGAAGATAATAAATACAGATAATTAAATTAAATAACCATGAAAAATTCGAAGCCTGAAATCTACTCTATGTTTATCTCTGGTCATATAATTTGGTGACTATTATTGTGAAGTTAATTGGTACGTGCATGGGTCATTTATTATATTTATACTATATATATCGATCGCGTCGAGATATAGCTAGAGATGGCTTACCTTTTAACTCTTTTTGGATCGACGATGGATTCGGCGCCACCGCCTGCAGCGGACGGCGGCGGGGCGGAAGAGTGTCACCGTCATTCTTGCATGCGCTCTCCACCTCCCCTGGTTCATTCTTGGGCTGTATCTGCAGTTGAAGGTCCTGTGTCGGGACGACGTCATCAAGCACCATAGGCTTCTCCTCGTGATTGCTATTCTGGTCATCGGACGGCGTGGATGGGTTCGATGCAGTGGCAAATGACGGCGGCAAGGAAACCGAGCCAATGTCATCGGAGAACATGGACATAAGCTGGTCGTCATCAAGCCTGTCAAACCCAAGATGGGCTCCGGCTCCTCCAGCCGGTTTCCGACATTCCTCGAGGAATGCCGTGTCGAGGTATGCAATGGAATCACTCGCAGACCGCCGGTGAGCCCCCCGCCGTGCTGAGGAGAAGTCGAGGAACTCGTCCACCCAAGTCGGTAATGTCAACGGCGGCGGTGACGGCGAGCCTTGTTGCTGAAACTGTTGAGTGGGATTAATAAAACTCGGCGGCATTGTGGGTAACTTTTGGTGAGGAAACGATGGCCAATTCTGGGTCATGGTCGGAACCTTGGGGGGTAACTGTGCCATCTCCTAGGTGGGATCGAACAACAAAGTTAATCTGAACGAGCTTGTACTACGAGAGAGACGATGATGATGATAGAAAGAGAGAGAAAAGGGAAGAAAAATAAGCAACCTAGAAGTTAGAACCAACAGAATTCGTAGATGAAAAGGGAAAAATTCTGGGGATGCTAAAACAGTAGTGTGAGGAAGGTCATGAGTTATAAGGAAGAAGTCACTTCACAACCACCTCGAGGATATCATCATATAAGGGGGATTAGCGATCTTTTTCCTCATTAATTATACGACCTAAAGCGATCGATGTAGGATAGTGTGTTGCTGTTTCTCGTTTAATTCTGTGGTTTTGGTGTGCGCTTGCTTCTTTAAAATGTCCAGAGGTTTTGGAGAGATGAGAAAAGGCAGAGAGAGAGAGAGAGAGAGAGAGTCACATGGGAGGGGGGATTGGGGACAGCTATCAACAGCTAGGTGGTGGAAAACCAAAAGGTAGTCTTGTTTAATATATGAGAAAATAACACCCAAAGCCCCGACACTTCTTTGTAGTTTTGATTGCATTACGTTTTAATTAATTGTTAACTACTCTACTCACACGTACTCTCTCCAATTCGATTTATAAATTATTTTTAATATATTTTATTAAAATTAATAAAAAATTTAAATATTATTAATTTTATTTTAAAATTTAATAAATTTTTTACTCATTTTTAATAAATACTTTTAAATTTCACTATTGATATTTTTATTTATAGTATTTAATAAGAGTAAAAAAATTAAAAAATATTAAGAATTGATAAATATTTTATAAATAGGATTAATATATTTTTCTCTTTTTACTCTATAGATAGAACTAAAGGGGTATATAAGTTTTCATGATGGGCACGATACGCAATTCAATTTGTACAAGTTGTACGAGTATTATGCTCTCTGATCAAGACACGCTCATCTTTGTAGTTATATCTGTTAAATTTATAAAATTCATTATATTCTATATGAGAACCTCCGCATCATGTGGGAATCTGTGATAAAATTCTTTGAAAGACTTTTGTTATGTGATCAATAAAGTATTCTAATTCATGTTTGATGTATGAATTTTTAACCATCACTGTGCCTTGAGTTTTAGAACAATTTGTTGCCCCATATATATTCCGTTCTTGTATTAATGTGTTATGAATGGATTGAGACATATGGATAATTTGGTAATTATGAGAAATTTTGGGGGATTGAAGTGGTGTTTTTGTAGGGGAGAAGAAGTGGAATCAGGAACCACGTGGCGATGTGACCCAGGCCTTTGCATCCATTATCTCAGAAAATGCTATTTATTCATATTCAATAATAATAATAATAATAATCCCCAACACATGCGCTTCTCCTCTTTCATCAGCTGCCTCCTGGCCCTTCCGTATCTCTTCCCTTTTCTTTCCTTTTTTTTTTTTTGGAGAAGCCAATGAGGGTAAAAAAAAAAAAATTGAGAACTCCAAAAGTTAAAAATTAATCGATATACAAGTTGAATATTTAATTATGTATAAATTAACTTTTAATTCTCCAAAACTCTCACCACTTTTTCCCCCTCTTCTAGGCTATTGCTACCATTCTCCCTTTATTTTTTTAGAGTTAGATAATTTATATTGAGCTTATTAAAATTGAACTTAAAGTATTTATATTTTTAAAAACTTTCATATAATCAAGCTCAATTTTTTTTATATGTGTTTGGATTTAGTCTGAATTATCAACTTTAAATACACATAGAGCCTAAAATTTTGGTGGTCAAGCTCATTAGAATTGTGCTTAAAGTATCCTACATTTCAAAAGAAAAACCCATATAGTCAAATTCAATTTTAATTTTTTTAGATGCATTTGAGTTAGTCTGTCAGGTTTGACCCAAATTAATGACTCTATTTTTTTTTAATTCTATTAGAGCTAATTATATTCAATATGTAATTGGATATTAAATTTAAATATTTTTTAAATATTTAAATATTAATTCATCGCATTATAATGTATTAAATGATTGTTTGAGTTGGTTATTTAATTTATTTTCTAAGAAAATGATCTCTTTAACCGTGTTGATTTTTCCCCTATCTACTTAACCGACACGATCATAATTCTAGATGATCAATTTATTACAAACAACGAGACAAATACAGAAAGCGATTACCAATTTAATAAACATTTTAAAAAACAAAATACTAATAAACAAATTCACATCTCAAGCCAAGTTATATTCAACCGAATATTATATATAACTGTTACATTATTAAAATAATCTAAAAATTTTTAATTTATATCTTTATTCTAATAACCATCATAATTTTTTTTTATAAAAAAAACACATACTCTCTATCTTCAGAGCAGAAATTAACTGATAAAAAACCACATACCCTCTATCGTTCTAAAGCATATTAACAGAATGCAGGATTGATTCCTGGAGTAACGCGATGCGATCTAATGAGCTATGAACTCACACAATTTTTTACTAAATCTGGTTCTCAATGAATAAATAAATAATTTTTTTTAAAAAAAAAGAGAGGGTAAAGGAAGCAATAATTATAAAATTGTAAAGGGAGGGCTTATGGGCCCACTTGGAGTTTGGGGAGGGTCGGTGGAGCATCACAACCATCTCGCATTGATTACCGATCTGAAATAATTGGGGTCGTCCTGATGCCTCCTTTGCTCTGCGTGCTCTCTGATCGGATAACAGATTCAACATTCAGATATGGCTAACCAAGTAATCACCCTTCAATGTGCTTTTTCACAAATTTGGCATCATACCTTTCTTCTAATTAAAATAAATCAAAACTCACCAATTTAAATTCACATACTCTCCCTACTCTTTTTTGACAAATTCTCCCTTAACATAAGAAGCCTGAAATATTATTAACATTACTTACCCAAACCAATCCATCCCAATTTCTATTGTGTGAGACTTTTATTATCAACAGTGATTTAATTTTTATCTTGAGAATGTCTTTGACATTTTTTATTTAACAAGACTGCATATTTTCAAGACTTGAACTTTAGATTTAGGAAGAATTGACTTGATTCTCTTAATTTGTTGAACTAAGTGTGTCTCAATTTTTTTATTACACAATTAATATACTCCTTGCAGTCTTATTTATAAGGCAAAAAGATAATAATTTTTTTAGTATTTATCACAAGTCATGTTATTATATTTTTATCACAAGTTTTTACTTGCACTTCTATTAATGAGAGAAAGTATATTATTAAACTATATATATATATATTTAGTAAAGATAGTGTTGAAAATTTATTAAATTTTTAAGTAGAGTTAATAAGTTTTAATTAAGATTTTTCTTGATTCCAACAAAACATATTAAAAATAATTTATAAATAGGATTGAGTGAAATATGCATGTGACAAGATTTTCATCCATAAAACAAGAAGTTGGGGTCCCATTCTCAATTAAGAGAAGGCAATCTCTCTTTACCCTCCTTACTCTAAGGAAAAAAAAAATAGGATTCCTGTTTGGGTTTTCTTCGAAAGCTTGTTTAAATTATACTTGAGATGTGCTTTTGTAAAATGTAACAAATGAATTTTTGAGAATATATAAATTGAAAACCAAATATGCACGAAGATCACTCTTCGTTTGGAGTTCAAATATACATGCCTCATTAAAAATTTGTTAACTTATGCATGTTTTTTAATCAATATGCATCCTTATAGTTTCTAACTTGCATATAAGAAACATATACTTTAAAATTTAAAAAAACACTCTTAACAGTTTTGTCTAACTATTTTGTCTTGGTAATCAAAGTGAGGTCACGCCTCAAACAAGAGATCTCTTGGGAAGATTAAATTAATGGGGTAGAGGGATAGTGGGGTGGTGGAGGGTTCTGGTTAAGAATGAGCTGTGAAGAGCTAGCAAGGAAAGCAAGTGTTTTTAATTGATAATTTTAAATTTTGTAATATTTATAATTGAGGCCTTATCATGAGAAAATTTTTAAAGTTATAAAGAAATCCGCTCAAAATAAAATTTTCAAAAAATTAATATTTTTATCGATGATATAGCAGCATTCAGTTGAACCCATCTTCACTTGAATTAGTGATTATTATTTGTTAAATAAGTCCTGAAATTCAAAATTCAAGTCTTAGCTTTTTCATTTGAGATCCAATGAATTTAACTTATAAATTAAAATGAAGAAATAATATAAAATAAGGTATTGTGTGAATCTAATTCTAGGTCTTTAATATGGAAGAAGAATCATGTCATGTGAAGAGGCCAGCTTGGTTTGTCCCAAATCAGAGTCACATGGCCAGATTTCTGTCTCTTGCCTTCTCAAAACTACTTTCTTTTAGTATTTTTCCCATCATCTCGTGTTGGGACTTTTATGCTTTTTTTTTTTGTTATGAAAAGAATAATAATTAAAAGTACTTGGGAGACACTAACAATGATTAGGGAAGAAAGGTTGGATTGCATGTTAACTACCACTTTTTTAATTTTTTTTTGTTTTTTCACATAACTATAATATTCACATATATACGCTTCCTCCTTTTATGTTAGTCACCGTCAACTATAAAATGTAGTTTTTATTTTTTTCATTTAATTATTTGATCGGTCATTTTCAAATATCATCGACTCTAATTAAAAATAACTACTTCAAAAACATTTCTATATTCACACATATTTAATCTGGAGATAACTTATGCTTCACTCTTCTCTTCTCCTAATGTTAATTCGAACACATGACACATGGGAGAAGATTATTGTTATAGTCATTTTCATAAAAACTCATGGAAAAATGATAATAAAGTTTCTCTAAATTATATAAATGACAATTTGGTCCCTCTAAATATCATAATGCTAATGAAGTTCTTAGAGATCTCTTTATCAATAACTTTTTCAGGAAAAAGATTATTTTATCTTTATTGATAAATTGTGATTTTTTAATTTTTGAAAGTTGTGATTCTTTAAATAAAAGATGTGAATGGATTTTTTATTTTAAGATTTTTTTAATAATAGAAATACACTTGATAAATTGTGATTTTTTATTTAACTCTTGCTATTCATAAAATAAAATTTATTATTTCTTAAATATTAGTTGTGATTGAAGCTTGTTTTTCAATAATAAAAATTATACTTGACAAGTTGTAATTTTTTATTTAACTTTTACAATTTACAAAAAAAGTTATAATCCCTTAGACAAAAATTATAATTGAGTCTTGTTATTTTCAATAAAGGTAAAATGATACTTTTTTAAAAAAAGTTATCAACAAAGAGGTCCTTGAAAACTTCATTGTTATCATGACATTTTAAAAGATTAAATTATCATTTATATAATTTAAAGAAATTTTATTATCACTTTTCCTAAACTAATACCTATTAAA